TATCAAACAATTATATTGATTTTCTATCATTTATTTAAAAAAACGTTCAATCTATTAGAATATTTTATGTCGAACTATTTTCATATATTATATTATAGAGATTTTAAATATATTATATGATATAATAACCTTTTTATATTATCGTATGATTAAAAGAAAAAATTTTTCGCTCTATTCGATACAGTTTGGTTGATAATCATAGACAATTATAAAGATCTCATTCTGAAAATCCGAGAAACAATGTGAAAATTTCGATGTTTTTACAGTAAAATTTTCGAATCGTTTTTCGATTGTTAAAAGTTCCATATGAATACTTGAAAAACAGTTCATTCGATAGATAATACTTTGAAATCTATCGAAAGCAATAAATAAATAAAAATTTCGAAAATATTCGATCGAAACGAAAATGAATTAAGTCAATTGAGAAGATTTTTTAATAAAGTTTTTCTCGATTATATTATATTATATAATGTATGATATTTAGTCACCCATGTCGTGAAAATCGGGGCAATTTTGCCGATCATCGGAAAAAACAGGCGTAAAATCGTGATTAATCGTATTTGCTTAAGAAATCGGCGATAAAATAAGATTTTATCACGATATATACAAGAGAATCGATTAATCGTTATATCGGGGAAAATCAGTTTGATTAATCGGAATTGATCGTGATTAATCGGAATTAATCGTGGTTAATCGAACTTTTTTTTATTCAGGTGTATATTTTTCTATTAAATAAACAAAATTAAATTTATTATTATACAAAAAAGAAATATAAATACATCAGATTTTGGCTTCACAACTACAATCATAATAAGATAAATGAAATTGAATTATTACGTTTAATGTCAGTACTACAAGAGCGGCTATCAAGAATATTAATCAACGTCTCAAAACCAATGCTATTTTGAGTAGTGTTTACAGAGGAGCTATTGATGATTTCCATAAAATAACTAAAATCGTACGAGTTGTTTCTGCTCTACGTAATATGAACTTGAATAAACTTAAGATTTATATAATATTTGTTAAAAAATTTGTAAAATAAAGTAGTTGTTGGTACTTTAATCATGCCTTCCTTTACCTTTTCTCATTCATTGAGAAATTATTTTAATTTCGTCTAGTCCAAATTAGCATTGTAATTTCGTCTGGACGAAGTCTTAATTAGGCTGAATTCTAATTTAGGTCATAACATATATATTTCATTTATCTCATCTAAATATTTTATTTTTTTAGATGTTTAACTCTCAAATACCATGTACTAGTCGAGCAAGCTGACTACGACAGCAACGTTTGAAAAAAATAATAAGCAGCCTCAAATTTCTTAAATAAGGTTGAGTCTTATGGTATATCATCTGACGATGACTGTTTGGGAACCAATGCTTGAGTGTATTAAATCACGACGACGAAATACAAAAAAAAATAGCAACACGTGCTAAACCTGGTATGTCTTTCCAAATCCTAATATATATTTCAATGATTCATTTTTATAGGTGACAATATTGGTGATAGTAATCATAGGCGGCGTGCCAGCAATGCAATGGTTAGCAATTGCTACCCCTAAAAAAAATTATTAGAAGCAATAAGAACTTATTGCTTCCTCTAATTTTTTACGTTTCCTGGGTATTCTAGAAAAAAATCTGAAACTTCAGTGTTTCATAAACTATGTTAAATAAATCTACTCAATAAAAAGTGCATATGCTCCCAGGACGAACAATCTGACAGTGAATCTCATCGGATCCTCTCCGGATTCTGTCGGATCCCACTAGATTCCGTCGAAGTCCTGGTTGCGGACTCACTAACGGATCCCATGTTGGCATCCGATCGAAATCCGATAGAATCCTACAGGAATCTCGTTGGAATATGCTTACTAAAATTCCTATCGAATTCAACTGTTGGATTTGGTCGAATGCTCGCCGGATTCCAACATTAGGGATCCGTTAGTGGGTCCGCAATCCGGATTCCGATCGGGCTTTGTCGGTTGATCGGATTCTATCAGATTCGATCGCATTCATTGTCGGATTCATTCAACTGGGCTAATTAAAATGGTCTTAACACATAACTAGAGGAGTTAATGCCCGAACTTTCCACACAGTACCTTCAAGAAGTTAAATTCTGGCAAAAAGAATTTTTTGCATCGGACTGAGCACGGGATGGGAAATAGAGCTCATTTAACAGTTTATTGCTAATCAACGAATTATATCTATATCAGTTTATAAATGATCAATAGATAATATTTATCGAATTGATAATATATGGTTATATTAAACTTGAATTTATTTCTCAAGGTAAACATTTGTTATCCAAATTGGTCTGTTATCATATATATTAACATAAGAGAAGATTAGTTTTTTTATATTTAAAATCATGCAATATAATTAATTTCATCGTTTTATTCGATATTTGTTGATATGTATATATATAGAGATATTTATTCACTTATATTTCAACTTGAAGTTCAATCAGTTAATCAATAGTTAAAATCTAATAAAATCTATCATATTATTCGTTATCATCGATTATATTCAAATATAATATTAACTGATATTTTGCCTTTATTAAATATCATATAATATAACAATAGACAATAATATAATTCGATATTTCTATTAAAAATCTATTAATAATTCTTATAATTCTATCATAGATGATCAAGATTTTCTTCGAGATAATGTTTGACCAATAGGTGAATATCATTTAATAGAATATGAGAGTTTTAATTGTAAATAATATAAATTATCAAGAACTTATTCAATAGGATAAATTTCAATGATAAAATTCGTTGGTTATCGTTGACCTTGTCATGATGATCAAGATCCACCATAACCAACCATATCCTATTCAATGTCTATCATAGAATAATACAGATAAATATTTATCTTAGATTTTTCTTCAACCATAATAATATAGATAGATGTATATATATGGATTTTAATTCTATTCAAAGTTAGTTTTATTTGTTGCATATATTTTTTTCTTGTTGTTCTTGTTTAATATAATGTGCCTATCAATCGATCGACTATAATAGAATATTTATATTATTAAATAATCTATTTTATTTTAGTTTAGTTTATTTAAAAAAAAACTCTAAATATTGAATTATTTCGAGATTTATCATCTAGAAAATATTATTAACAATCGATTATAAATATATTTATTCAATAGTTAAGTGTTTAAATAAATCTTAGTTAAACTTATATAGTTATACCCCTATGATTAATATCGACAATAATTAACCTTGTTTAGTTTGTTTTATTTTTAAATTGTCTTATAATCGATTGTTTTCATATATATATATATATGTATAAAAGTTGAAAGTAAATCAGTTCGTTTAATATTTTAAAAGTGATCGATTGTTAATCATTGGTTATTACTTCCTAACATATAGATTTATATTTTCAATTTATTATTTTTTTTGTCTTTTAGTCAATTTGATTTATTTAGCAAAAATGAATAAATAATTAACTTATATTAAATAATAATTAATTATTTTAAATAAAAAACTATTGAACATTATTCATTATTATAAATAAACAAATTATGTTTAAACAAGTCATTTATATCAATAAAGGATAATGATAAAAACAAAACATTAAGAGAGAGAATAAAAACTAAATCTGGTCAACCACTAAGAAGTGCGAACAATATTAAATGAGTTAAGATAAAATGAAAGAAAACAAACGAAAACGAAAACGAAAAAGAAAAGTTAAAAAGTATTTATATATAAATGCCTAGTAATAGTGTTATGTACTTCAACGTGCGCGAAAAAAACAAAACATTTTAGTAATGTTTTTAGCTGAGTAAGTATTGAGATGAATTAATTTATGAAAAGAATGAAAAACGAGAGAAAGAGATCTCCTATATATATATATACCAATGAGATAGAAGATTAATAAAAAAAAAAAACGAAAAAATATTCTGATCATATTAATCAACAATTGACAAAGCAGAATTAATTAATGATATAATAATAATAGAATTTTAAAAATATGTTTAATAACAATCTTATATTCGAATAATAATTGAATAAATAAATAAAAATATTGATAAATAAATTAATGTTATGTTTTTCGAAAATCCTCATCATTAGAGTTAAATTGGATAAATTATTAAAAATAACGATTATTTTATTTGTCAAATTAAAAGTAAAATTTAATATTTTATTTTAATATTAACTATATTGAGAAAAATCAATTTTAAAATAAATATTCAAATTTCGAAAAATAATTCTTCTTTATTCATTATTTATTTTGTTGTTGTTTTTTAAATATGTTAATTATCAATAAAACAATTTAGTTCATTTTAAATAATAATTTAAATAAATATTAAATTGAACTCTCTTATAGGCAATAATAATATTTTTTTTTGGCAAAAAATCTTTTATCTTATTGTTAATGACATATATATAGTCCATAAAGATTGCAATTATATTATAACGATATACAAAAAAAAACATAAAAACGAACCTGGACATTTGCGTTATTCTTGTTTTTTTTTATTCTTTATAATTATAAAATTGATCTTGATCAATAAAGTCAAACGGTTCGATCAAACATTCGAGTATAATATTATCTATATGATATTTATTTGTTTAAATTAACTTAATTAGAGTTTTCCATAGACAAGTCTTATAATGAATAAAAGTCAAATGTGTGTGTGTGTGTGTGTCAATATTGTTTTGGTTGAAATAAATAGTCAATGTTATTTATGTTCTATTTAAATAAAGTGATATAAATCATTCGTTTTTAGTTCTTTTTTTTCATTGATGTTTTATATGATGATGGATTGTTATCTTTGTTGTTGTTTTTTCAATAAAAATAAAAGAACAAGCATATTATGGTTATTTATCTTCTCTAATAGATATAATGTTCGAAAAAGAAAAGAGACTTATTTTATTTAGTGAAATCTGAATTATCGTTTGCTTATTAAATATATATTATTGGAACTAATATTTAACTATAAATAATAGTTAAATTTGAATAAATATATAAATAATTAATTCAAATATGATAAATAGAAATAATAGAAATGATGTTACAATAATAGAAACAATTGTTCCTGATGGAGGTTGGGGATGGATTATTGTTTTATCATCATTCATTATTCATTTTATAATAGACGGGTAAATAATTTAATTTAAATATATCTATCTATCTATCTATCTTTGTTTATTTAATAATATTAATATAAATTAAAATCTAGAATAACATATTCAATGGGTGATATTTATTTGGAACCAATGTTAAAAAATCTTCAGTTTAGTCGTGCTTATGTATCAGCTATATTTGCTTTTTTGGAATCCATTACTTTAGCTTCAGGTTAAAATAAATATAATTTATTCATATATATATATATATATATAATAATCTTATTTAAATAATAGCACCTATATCAACAGTATTTACAAATACATTTGGATGTCGAAAGGTAACAATAGTTGGTGCTATTCTAGCATCACTTGGATTTTTTCTTAGTCAATGGTGGTCAAATGTTTATTATTATTATCTTACCATTGGTATAATTGGAGGTATGATTGAAGTTAACTTTTGTTTTTTCTATTTTATTTTATTAAAAGTTTAAAATGTTAAGGTATTGGTTGTGGACTTATTTATTTACCAGCAATTGTTTCAGTTGGATATTATTTTGAAGAAAAACGTTCATTTGCAATGGGTATAGCTGTTTGTGGATCAGGTTTGGGTACAGTTGCATTTCCATATATACTACCTTGGTTAATGAATAGATTCTTTTCAAATGATTATAAATATGCTCTTTTATTTGAATCAATTCTTATATTTACATGTATTTTATTTGGTCTTCTTATGGTAATATTCGATTATTTTATTTAACATATATATATATATATATATATATTATTTATAAATAGATTCCTCTACCAATCGAACCTAGTGAACAACGTCATTTACGATATAAATTACAATCCGAAAGTAAAGAAGAAGCTAATAAACATATATTAAATAATATTGATAATGGAAATAATCAAACAAATGAACAAATGAATCAACATGAAAGGTTTGAAAATGTTTTATTTTATAGTTTAGATGTTTTGTTGTTGTCGTTGTTGTTTGTTTTCGAAATCGATTCGACTATGATAAATAATCTTAAGTTAATTATTTAAATATATTTAAATAAAATCTATATTATATTAAATATTATTTATATATTATTTCTATATATATTTATCTATAGTTAATTAATTAGATTTATTTTTATTTTCATATATAATATAATTATTAAAATAGTTATTAAATATTCATTTGAATATAATAGTAATAGAATAGAATAGAATAGAATAGAATAGAATAGATATTAACTCTATTTGTTAATAAATGTATTTTTTCCAATAAAATAGTCGATATAGTAAAGTCTATTATTTATTTGATAAAATTCTATTTTGTCTTGTTTAGCTACTTAAAATATATATGTTATATTAACATTGACAATATTTATATTTACTTAAGGAATAAATAATAATAATAGCTGTTAAAAAAGGTACATTTATATATGATGGAATTTTTAAGGAGAAATTTAAATAAAATAATATTTGATCAAAAATAAATAAATTTTAAATGAGATTATTTATTTAATAAACTGATATTATCTATCAATATATCGAAATTATATTTTAAATCTTATTCATTATTAAATTAAGTTTATTTGAATATATATATATATATAATATAATATTGAAAATGAAATAAAAAAAAAAAAATATTGCTCTTCCTTGTCATGTTTAATAGAAATAAATAATATCATTTACTTTGTTATTATCATTTGTTTGACAAAAAGAAAAAGATTCAACTATATAATATAATATTATTCTTTATATTGAATATAAAATAATTAGTTAAATTTATTATCGAAAACGAAAATCTATTATATATTCTCTCCATATTCAATATTGTTATTATAACTAAACAAGACTCCTATTGACAATTCTTTATATTCATATATGATAATTAATTTATTTTACTCATATATATATATATATATTGAAGAATTGATTCGATCTTGAAAATAATATTTTTAATTAGAAATAAAATCATATTTAGATGATAAATTCTTGAATTCAATATAAATTTGTTCATGTTAACATGATGAATATTTACGGTATTGATTAAACGTGTTTTATTTCTCTAGTGAGTATATTTATTCTAATATAGATTAGAGTTTAAATTAATAATCTTAAATTGTCCTATATCAATATATTCTCTCTGTTCATCGAATTATTTATTATCTATATGATTGAATATTGATTTTCAATATTTATTCTCGATAGATATTATAATGATTAAACAAAATGACTATTATTTAAGCAAGAATAAACTTATTCTTCATGATATATATATATATATACATATGAGTAAAGAGCACGTTGATTATACCGTTAGCGGACAAAACATCGAAAAAAGTAAATATCCTAAGTTGTATTTGATAGAGTGATGTTGAATATGTATAAAAATAATGTTTTCCGAATATATTCCTGTAAAAGAGAAGATAGATGGTATTTATATATTATTAGATTGTCGTAGGGTATAAATACTTTCATTCAACTAGCTCAATTGTTTCTTGGTTAAATAATATGCTCTTTTATATGGAAAAGCTTATTGCTTGATTTTTTTCGTATATAACTATACTCTATGAACTGAAAAAGAGTGGAATTGTTTATGGCGAATGGCTAAGTTTCCATTAAGTTATAGAAATAATAATATGTTAAAAATGATTCTATATTCAGTCTAAATATAGATGTTTTTTTTAATAAAGTGTAAATTATGAAACTAACCTATTTTATTTCTCAAGTTAATTTCCTTCTAGTTCTATTTAATATCTAATCAAATTTGTTCAAATGAACTTTCGTTAAACGAAATGGCAATGATTTTCTTTTCAGAATCGAACAGTATACAATATCTGTGCTCTTCACTTGTATACATATTAAATAGACGTTTGTTTTAATCTATGATTAAAATGAATGAATGTTTCGATGACAATTTAATATTCTCAATATGGATAAATAATGATAGATTATGTTAGACATATGTTTAAGACAAATAAAATAAAGTTAATTAGATATTAAAATCGATAAGTAACGATGAAAAAGAAACTAAATATTTAAATTCTTCCTATTAATTATAATCAATTATAAATCTGTCAATGATTTTTCTTTAGATAAAACGATTTGTCATGATGATTTGTTTGAATAGATACCTATTTATATATACGTAGAACTCAATTAATAAATAAACAATATCCTTTAATAAAATAAAGAGAATTAAATAAAAGTTTGTTTATATGACTTGTCTATTAAATGATTAATTCGAATAAATATAAATTGGTTTTTTCTTTCCATCGATTTTAAGAAATATTTCTTATATTTTCGACGATATTTTTCTATTTTTAAAACTGATCAAAACTTATCTTTTTTTCAAATTTTATATATCTAAAAATCAATGTTTCTTACTCAATATCGAATATATATTTGTAAATAAGATGAAATTGTTATTCAAATCTAACCTTTTATCTGCTAACTCGATCAATCTCTTATAAAAAAAAACAGAAAAAGAAAAAGATTTTTTGGTTTTTAGAAAAATAGCCAGTCTAGTGATTATTTCTGAGTAAATGATTTATTTAAATAATTCTAAATTGAAAATATTGATGTTGTTTAGTGTACCTTTTGTAAAAACATGTCGAGAAAATGTTGTTAATGAAGATGCATCATATATTGATCATAGACGTAACACAATAGTATCATTTCAAAATGTTCCTTATATTGGTTTAAATAATATTTCGATAAATAAAAGTGAACATCCTTGGAAATCTTTAACACATTTATCATCACCATCATACCGTCATTCCTTATTAACAATTCAAAATCGTTCATTGTATCAAGGTAGTCTTAGTCGGATATCTTTACCAAATAAATTCATTGATGATTATTATTCCAATGATAAAACAGTTCAATCAAGACCAACAACAACAACAACAACAACAACAACAATTAATGATAAAGATTCAATTATAATAAATAATCAATGTGAACAATTAAGTGAATCAATAATTGATTCACTTTTAGAACAAATTAATTTAAATCTTTTGAAAAATGCTTCATTTACTCTTTTTACAATATCAAATTTTTTATCAAGTCTTGGATTTTTTGTTCCATATAATTTTGCACATGATCTTGCTAAAGATTCACATGTTGAAGAAAATCATCGAAAGTTTGTCATTATGGCAATCGGTTTTTCTACTTGTTTCGGTCATGTTATTATTGGATATATAGCAGATCTTAAATCGGTATGATTTAGAAAAATAATTTACACTATTTTTTTTATTAAAAAAAAAATAAATAAATATTGTCAGGTTAATCGTCTTATATTATACAATTCAACATTAATCATAGCTGGTCTATCTACAATAATTGCTCCATATAGTGGCTCTCATATTCTTCCTCATTTGATTTATGCATCATTTTTCGGTTTCTTCTCAGGTGGATATGTTGGTTTAACATCAATAATAACTGTTGATCTTGTTGGAATAGATAAATTATCAAATGGAATGGGTATTATTCTACTATTTCAAGGTATTGCTACTGCTATTGGTACTCCAGCTGCTGGTAAGACATTGACATTTATTAAATTAATTCAATAAATATATATATATATATACAGGATGACACAAAAGTAGCATGACAAATAATTTTTTCGATTTCTTTTTTAAACATCCTAAGTTAGATCTCATATTTATCCTAGATATACTAGATGACATAATTCAAGGATGTAGTATATGATCAGTATCTAGCTGTTGGAACTGATCCAACAAGCGTATACATAATACGAACCTTGTTCATAGAATTATCTTGACGAATTTGTCAATCAGTAGCTGAGTGATTGCAACTTTGTAAAGATTTAGAGAATGATCACATTGAGCAATTTTTGTGAAAAGGTTCGCTATTAAAAACATTTGACAAATACATATTATTGTATGTGTCATTTTCTTCTTCTATTCTTTTAATAAACGTTTTGTTACAACTCAGAGTTTGTTTTTTTACTTTTGGCCACACTATATTTACACGCTTTTAAACAAATTACTAATGTCACCTTGTATATGTAGGATAAATATGAGATCTAACTTACTATGTTGAAAAAAGAAAAAAATCGAAAAAATTATTTTGTCATGTTAGTTTTGTGCCACCCTGTATATTCTTCATTGACTAGGTGCTATGCGTGATGCATTTGAAAAACATCGTCGACCATTTCTTTGGCCTTATTTTATGTTTGGTGGATTTGTTGTATTAAGTGGAGTTATTCTATTTGCTATTCCAATATTAAAACAAAGAGAAAAAAATCATCGAAAATTATCGAAATTTTCATCAAACACTAATTCTACTTCTCATTTAGATAAACATTCATTTTTTCATAGACAACAACAACAACAACAACAAATTTAATTGTTTTTAAATTTTAAATAAAATATTGAACAATATTCATCTCTTATATATTAACATTATTGTTCACTTATATTATATTAACGTTATATATAAATTTATAAATTATTTTTCAGTATATATTGACAATTTTCAAATTGAAATAAAAATAATATGACCTATATATATTTCTATGTTAGATTAAAATTGTTGATTTAAACAAAAAATATCAACAGTTAATTGGAAAAAAAAATCAATTAACAATAAATTAATAATATTAATTATCTGAAAAATTTGATTAGAAATGCTAATTAACTAAATATATAAACAAGTTATTTTAAAAAAATTGATGTACCATTATATGTATTTGAGAATAATTGATAAAAAGTATTAGATTTTAAATAAATATATATATATATATATTCTCATTCAACAACAAAAATACATCTATTAAATAATGATTATAAAAAATTTCAATTTAAACTTATAAATAATTAAAATAGATATGAATATTTAACATATTATTTAATATGATATAACATAGATTAACTATCTTTCATTTATAATTGATAAATACTTTAAAATCTAATAAATTTTGATAATTATTTCATAGTTTACAGTGAAAGATTTTTTTATTGAATCATTTTAGATTATTTATTTATTTATTTATTTATTTATTTATTTATTTAATAAATAAAACTAAATATGTTCGATATGAAATGGTTGATAGAAGATTCTATTTCGATTAGCTATCGTTTACAATCGGAAATTTATTGATGAACTTGGATAAATTCAATTAAAATAAATAATTATTAAATAATAAAAGATAATAAATATTCGAATACTTAATATAAATAGACATTTTTGTTTGTAGAAATGTATTAGCTAATAAGACATTTAAATCATATGTTATTACATTCTCCAATTTTGATAAACATTTATTTTCTTCACTAAATTTATTTAAAATAAATATTAAATAAATTCTAATAGAAAATAAGTATTTTTTGTTTTTCAAAAACCTTTTAATGTGTTCATTGAAACTTTTTATAAGTCGATAAAATGTTAAACAATATTTTGTATCAGTTATAGGAGTTGTTTCAAGTAGAAATAATTGTTTTTTCATCTAGAAATTCTCAAATTAAAATAAATAAAAACTAAAAAGGCAATGACTAACATATTGATGTTCATATTTACATTGATCAATTATATTGTTTCCTTATAAATCAAGATATTTTTCAAATAATTGATAAAGAACAAGTTCTTCAACGGTAAGATGTCGAATTAATTCTTGTTGAAACATATTTGACCAATGTTGTTCATCATCAATATTACCTTGACACATTAAATAATTCTTTTGCTAATTTATTTATTTTATTTTTAATCAATTCGAAATAACAATATAAATATCTTATAGAGTTCATTTATTTGAATATGATCACGTTTTATTATATCTTATATGGACAATTTATTATCCATCTAAACAATATTTATTCTTATTACATTTAAATTTTATTTATGTAAGAAAAGTCTATCTTCATTATATTATGTAAAACATTGATCAATGTATCAATAATTATTCGTTTTTTTTTGTGCTACGTTGATTTTACGCATTTTCTCTTATTTAAATAAATCAAGCATACAAATCATTGACATTTGCTCTCTTTTTATCTCTATGCTAATCGTATAGATCATTAAGGACAAATTTATCTCATAAAAACATGTTTCATTTACTGACTCAATTGAGTTGAACAGGTACATTTTAAAATGATAAGCTATTCTCTTTTCTATATTTATTTTATCATAATTAGTCATAGAAAATGAGAGGCATCAAATACACACTTTTCTATTCACAACAATGTTAACACTACTTTATCATAATAATGTTCGCAACTATTATTCTTCTTTTTATATTTCGTTTGAATTGAAATAAAAAAAAAGAGTAGACTTGCATTATATAGAACAAAAAAAAGTTCTATAATTATTTCTTACGAGAACTTTCATTCTTTTTTCAAATAAAAGAAATCAATCAATTATAATAACATCATATTTCAAACTTTAAAGTTTGGTAATCATAATTTAACAAACTTATAAATGCAAAAGCACTTTTTTATTCGAATAGTAGTATTATTTATAGACAAAATAGTTCTAAATCAACAAAGGTTAATTCCAATTTCAATCAAAGCTGCTATCAGATTACTTGTTTTTCGGTTTGTTCTCGACAGATCAGTAAGAAAAGCAGACCAGAACAAAACAGAATTATTTGCTCCGAAGATTTTTGAGGGAACAGAATAGACTTACTGACAGTTATTACTAAACTTGAAGATACAATTATACAATATACGATAGAAATTTTTCTTATTTTTCTCACGCTAGTCTCAAACACATTGTTTAATTCTTCTCAATTACGATGAACAGATTTCAAAATTCTACACACTAAATAGAAACTTAAAAGAGATACAACTGGGTGTGAGTGTGTGGGTATGGGTGTCAAAGTTGGGAACTAGAGTAGGACATTTACAACCAGATCTACACCTATCCACACAAACCACAAAAAATTCAAACGTTTGAACTCTGTGAAACAAAAGATACAGACGACATTAAACAAAAGTTTAGTGTCAATCATTTCAAGTCCAATATTTTTACATTCATACCCGAGATCAATTAACGATTTACAGATCATCCAACAATTTACGAAACGACATAAAAAAAAACATTACCATACAATACATGGATTATTCAGAACGACTTATCTTCACATTTTAAAAAGTTTAATCCTTTCCGATCGGCGTCTAGAAACCAGATAGCAAAAATATTGTTTACTACATAGTTTTTGTTGCTCTACCATAGGAATAGTAAAAATGTATTTTTTGGAACAAAAAATGTGATTCTGTGTCCAACGGTTTCATGTTGCCATTTCCCTAGTGAAACATCTTGTAAGCAAGATCTTCGCCAAGATCCAAGGTACAGAAATGTTAGTAGATCTTGAAAAATTACGTACAAGTTAATTGTATTATCTTATAACAAGATCTGTAGTTAGATCTTGGGAACAGATAGTTTAGATCTTACAATGTTAAGATATTAGCGACCCTTGGTTTGTCTACAGGGAGATAATCGATTTTTATGATACTAGCAATCTGAGTATATATAGAAACATTATGATTATTTGCATTAGTCTTTTGTGCATTCATTTGAATATTTCAGTAGTAGGTTATAAGAATCTTTCTGAAATTAATCAATTACATTAAGATCACATTAATTGCAATGTCTTCTGAAGCTGAGGTATTATCGAGATAAAAGAAAAAAACGTTATATGCTTGAAGCATGACCTGTATATTTGATATTTGAATTTAAAGTGTATTGATGCATCACTTGGTATTCAAACTGATAATCACTTTTCAATTGGTGTTAAGATATCACAAAGAAATATAACTATTGCGTCATAATTATTCTTGTTTTGTTCACTGCTATATCTAACGTGTAAAAAAGTTTATTTAACTATATTAAAACATGAATGTATTAAATATTATTAAACATCTTCACTACTTGACTCAAACTGAATATGGTTCCGAAAATTCTTCAACAACTGCTGATGAAATTTTGACTGCCGAACGATTATTCGAAGTTTTAAAATCTATAAATGTCAGCTACTTCACTGAACTGTATACATATGACACTCTCGAACTCGACGATGAATATGATGAACTAACTGATGAAGAACAGAGCAATGATGACATTAATGATTATAATGACAATGAGCATTCTGATATAAATGATCATTTTACATTAGAAGAAATGGAAAAAATAGTCGAATGGGTTGACCAACATCCAAATGCTGGACTTGCAACAATTTCACATAGATTTAAAAAGGTCAAATACATGTATTATATTACAAGATTCAGACAATACATCGAAAACAACGGCACAAGATTAGAAAAATTAAATCAAATTAAAGAATTTATGATTAATGAGTTCTATTTGAAAAGAACAGTTGAAAAAGAATCCGTTCATGATGCTGATCTAGAATTATATGCAATTCAAAAAGCAAGAGAATTAAATTGGAATACCTTCAAGGCAAGCAAATCATTTAACAACATTTTTAAAAAAGAAAACAGAATATCATCCAGAAGATACAACAAAATTATTACTCGAACTAACTCAAATAGAAAAAATTGCACTCTAAATGGTTCGTAAACTTATTTGGTCCTTAAATCCACATGTCTTAATGCAAGAAACGCATATTTTTAGATGCTCATAATTGGATTGAAAGTAAAAGAAGTTTCATTTCAAAGTATCCATCTCATCAAATTTTAAATAGCGATCACTGTTCATTTCAACAAGAGTATATTCCGCCAAGAACTCTTTCTTTTACTGGTGAAAGAACAACAGAAGTAGTTGCAAAAAAGAAATATAATGTCACACATTGTTATACAATTCAACCAGTAACATCAGCTAATGGCCTTTTATTAGACAAGTTTTTACTTGTACTTCAAGAAAAAGAAAATACTCTAGGTAAAAGAGTACAAAAAAATTTAATAATACCACCAAATGTTGTAGTAAGAGCTTCAAAATCAGGAAAAAGCAATGACGAAAACCATCACGCTTTTTTAAATGAAGTTTTGCGTCCATTTGTTGGTAAAAAATTTCTTCTCTTTCTTGATGCTTGGAAAACTCAAGCTGATCTAACGAAATTTAGAACAGTATTTCCTCATCAAGACAGTGAATTATTGATTTTTCCTGAAGGATCTACCGGTTGTATCCAACCACAGGATCTGTCTTTATTTTGCTCATGGCGATTGATTCAAGAAAAAATCGAACATTATACTCATATTAATCGAACAGAAATAACTATAAGTGATCGTTAATATTTTATCAACATACATTCTGTTATTCATAATCAATTATCGGCTCCACTATTTAAAAATCTAATTAAGGATGGATTCATACAAGCTTGAATAACAAATGAAACAATTGGACAGATAGAAAAACCAAAAGATGTTTGCTTCAAGTACTATGATCTGTATTGT